AGTTTTCCGGCGATTCGGACGGCCACCGCGAGAGCGCTGGTCCATAGCTGTAAGGGCAGCGGTTGTGTGATGGTGCGGTCCAAGTAAGAACAGGTGAAGAGGTAACCTGGCTTACGGAGACGGATGTGTAGATGATTCGGGGGTAGAAGGGGAACCGCAATAAGATGGCGGAGAAAGCCGAGAAGTCATTCAATGAGACGGGAGGCGACTGCTCTGAATATTAATGTGATGTGAATGAAGAGCTATCGAACCCTTGTCCCGTCGTAGATTTGACGGATAGGAGTAAGAGGCTGTCGGCAGGGGAAGAGGTTGAAGGTGAAGGTGCTGGCAAAAAAAACCGGGTTTGATGCAAGTAAGTGGTGATGTGGTGGTTTGACTTGACTTGGACCACCCGAAGTGAGAGCTGAGAGTGAGAGCCAAAGGTTGTGAGTGTGAGTGAGCGAGACCGAAAGAGACCTGAGCTGAGGAAACGGGCCTTGCTGGTGTCAATACCAAATAAGACGTCAAATTTGAGAGCAGACAGGACGGGTCTGCGCGATAGCTAGAGCATGCAAAAATACGCTCTGGAGAAAGCTCAAGAGCCAAAGAAAATAGCGACGATATTTTCAGGAGGGCAAAGAAGTCGTGAGGGTGAGATATCTGGGGTGGAAAAGGTGGTGATTTGTGCTGTTGGTGGCCCCTTCCTGTCTTGTTGCTGAGATGGCTCCTTCCTGTCTTCACTTTGACTTGCATTTCTCAATTTTGCCTTGCCAGCCGGGGCCCTGTCCACGTCTGCGTCCACACACGTCCACCTGTTGCTCTTGCTGGCCTGGCTCAGGCGGCTGGCTGCCACTTCCTTCCGTTCCGTTACTGGCTGGCAGGGGCCGGGAGAGAGAAAGGGAAGGCACGACTGGGCCCCTTTGGAACGCTCCTGCACTGGCATTGGCTGTTAGTCCTTCCGAGCCAGCCACGCCTGGACCACAAGGCAATGGGAAGGAAGGAAGGAAAAAACGGTACGTGGGTACAAGGGCCCAAGGGGGAAGGGACTCAGGGAGCGGGATACGTACCTACCTTCGGCGGACTCTCACCCTAAGTCCCCATGCCGTTGAGCATCCAAGGCCCTGCGATGGGAGCTGGGGGAGATCACTGTAGTTATCTTACCCCCCTAAGGTCCACTACTGACAAGAAGCCTTCAGCGGGTAAGCCTCTGTATTGCACCGATCATGACCCCCAAAAGCCTGCTGTAAGCCTTGACAGACCAAGAATGGGAACGCAGCCCGGCGCAGATGGCGACTTCAGACGGGGACCCACAAGACACGCTTTTTTCATTTCCGACTGGGGATGGGCGTCCACTCAGGGCCAATGAGATGACACGCTTCTCGTTCACTCCGGATATGGCCTAGCGCATCCCATCTCTCCGCTTGATGCATGTCCTGTCCCTGGTGAATGTGATGCATGTCTCCAGCAGCTGTCGCCAATGTGTGTGGTGCTGTGCGGCGTGCCTGCGCTGGTGCATCAGATTCCCCCGTTTGGTTCACAGTCGGAGAACATGAGGTGAATGTTCAACTGGATCTTCGTCAACATCAACAACCGCCCTTCATCATTCGAGCAGTGAATTGGTGTCTCTCTGTTACACCAACCAATATCGCCTTGATCGCTTCGGCCTGGCCCGTCGGACTTAGTACCCCACGCTATAATTATTGCTCCTTCCATTCGAGCTGTTGTTTCACGGTGTCCTGATACTTAGCGTCGCCTGACTAAGCTTGCCGAGCATCCCTTTTGGAGCTACCTAACCGCCCTCAAAGTGCTGCACCTTGTAGCTAGTGACGTCTGCCCCGCAACATCACCAATACCACAATACTTCCATCACCCAACATGGCTTCCAAGAAGACAAAGCCCGCTGCTGCTGGCGACGACATTGACGACCTCTTTGATGGAATTGGCGACAATGTTGCTCCCCCTAAGAAGTCGCTCGAGAAGAAGCCCAAGCCTACCACCGCCGCTTCCAAGGCTATGGCCGATAACGACATCCTGGCCGAGCTCGAAAAGGACCTCGAGCAACCCTCCCGTCCGCATACGCCGCGTCTTAAGGAGACGGCGGCAAAGGGCATCCCCAAACGCTCTGCGACTCCTACTACCGACGACAAGTCGACCGCCCCTCGCAAGTCTACCGACAGCGCACGATCTCTTCGCGCGAGCTTCACCCCCAGTGCCACGAGCTCCGACCTGCAAGAACCCGAGAAGAGACCTGCTGAACAGCTTGCCACTGCCTCTTCGTCAGCTGCTTCTCCTGAAGCCGCGCCCGCTGCGGCTGCTGGAGGTGGCTGGTGGGGTGGCATCTTCAACACGGCGACTGCAGCCATGAAGCAGGCCGAGGCTGCTGTGAAGGAGATTCAGAAGAACGAGGAAGCCAAGAAATGGGCCGAACAAGTTCGAGGAAACGTTGGCGGCCTCAGGGCTCTCGGTAAGCTACGAACCTGATTTCGCCGACTCCTGAACGCAAGCAAGGCATGTTGTGTAGAAGGAACAACCAGGTGCTAACACCATCTTAACAGGAGACAACCTTCGCCAGCAAGCTCTTCCGACATTCACAAACATCCTCCATACCATTGCCCCTCCCATCAGCTCGCACGAGAGGCTCCTCATTCACATCGCCCACGACATGGTCGGGTACCCTTCCCTCGATCCCTTGATCTACGGCACCTTCTCCCGCGTCATGTCCCAGGTGGAGGGCGGCGAGTTGATGGTCATTCAGCGAGGCCAAGAAACCCACAGCCGCAGATACTCCAACGACGGTGGCGCGGGCTGGAGAGACGGCCCATGGTGGAGACAATCCGACTCCCCGCGTGACCTGGGTCTGATTAAGGGTCTGACCGAGGGCACGAAGCTCTGCCGTGCTGGAGCCGAAGGTTACGCCAGCGAGTACTTTGCAGCCCACGGCGGCGTCGAGCAGGCTCGGCTACGCGCGACTGAGCCCGTGAGCGAAGACAACCCGGTTCGCAGCTCCGACCTGTTCCTTGCCATCCAGGCTGTGGGGACCACGGCCGATTCGGGTCTCTTTGCCCGCACATCGGCTGTGGAGAAGGAGAAGGAGACTTCGGCCGTGGCCGAGCAGGATGAGGCAGACGAGATGGTTTGCTTCGCAGTCTTCTGCCTCGACCCCGTCCACGAGATTGAGTACTCGGCCATCAGCCAGTCCATCCCGGCCAAGTGGATCCGCTGGTTGGACGCTGCCAGCCCGCTGACTCCTGCCAGCGGTGAGGATGGTCAGGAGGGCTCTCTGGGTCAATCCATTCCGGATGAGATTCGTGAGATTGTCGAGGGCGGTGGTGTCGACCCCCGCGAGTGGGTCGCCGAGTGGATCGAAGAGTTGTTGAGTCTGGCTGTGGGTATCGTGGCACAGAGATATGTTGCCAGAAGAATGGGTGTCGGTGAGGGAGGCATTGGAAAGGGCAAGAGGCGCATGGACGAGCTTGTTCAGGATGGCGGCGGCGAGGCAGCCCGGGCTGGCCTCATCTAAGCCCGTATCGGGTCGCAGTAACTGTATGAATTTATCTAGGTGTTCGGGTATACCGCTTTCTTTATCAATATCTTTATCAATATCATTGAACAATCATTATCATTCTACAAATTGCACCATCAGTGTCCACGTTCTTGCCTCTTAGTGTGCCTAATGTCTGGATCATATGCCAAACGTGTTCTTGGTGCCCAATATTTGAACGCCGATATCTGGCTCAATGTAGCGTATCGGTGATGGCAATAGATAAATCACTGTTGAAAAAGCCAATATGTCTAAATGTTATTCTGCAATGCTCCAGCCTCATGAGGGGCGTGCTTGGCTCCGGCACCTGGGATGTTCTCATTAATGCCACCCATGCTTGCCTTCAATACTTGTAAGTATCTCCTCTGAGAATATGTAACAGCCAATAAGGATTTCAATTAAAATTTCCCGGGTTTGCTTCAGTCAAAACATTAGAGCCCAGGATTTTTGAAGTTATCCACCGAGGCCGACTTACACGGCGCAGGAGGAGGCAGCTGGCGCCAGCTGAGGTCTATGCCAGGCGCCTCTCCCGAGTCCCCACACCGGATTCCTTCCCAAAAATCCGGCCGTTGCCTGGAGTGTGAGGTATTACATAATCTGGGAGCTGCACCGTAAATGAGAAGAAAATTTCCTCCCCTCCAAAGCTTCATCTGATCAAACTCACTCGCCGAACACCACACATCGCAAAGACAGGCAGCGCTACAAACGCAGACGGCTCAAGTGAGTCAGACAGGGGCATTCTCAAATATCTACGAGAACGGGCATTATTTGTTGCCGCCCTATACTCTGTGGCGGTGTCTGTCGCATCAAAGCATGAATGTAGTGTGAAGCCGAACGAAACAAGAGGATAGCTTCATTTATCCTTACCTACCTTACAGCAGCGTCTACCCAGTCACTTGGATTATTTACGAGTCTTTGCTTCGGCAAGGGTCTCCTTCTTGTGCCGCGTTTTGCGGTACACTCTGGAGAGGACTGGAAATACACTATTTATGAGCGGTGAAAATCGAGAGGGAAGGGGCGTTTACGTCTTTTTCTCTCTCGATTTTTGCCGGGCTGCGAGAAAAACAGGACCATCATAGTCCATGCCCATCTTCTTTCCTACATGGGCGAGGCTCCAGGCGTACCGACATATTTTCTTGTGACTTTGTGTTTTGCATGAATTGAAGTGAGAGCATTCCCGGTTCAAAGTGCTACTTGCCATCCACGTTTATGTTGCCCAAATGACTTGGATGGCTCCAAATTGCTACATATTCCAGCCAAGGACCTGCACCGCCGCCTCGAGCAAGTTTGTCGGTCAACGAGACGAGCTCAACAAGGTGTTCCTAAAGCCGGGGAGCATGATGGGTTCGAGCAACAGGCTCCCTTTCACACCGGCCGAGTCCCGGTCGTCTCCGGTGTTGTCCTACCCCATATTGGGCCACCCACATGTAAAGGTGCACCTCCCCCACGCACTTGCTCAAGTTGCTGTCACCATTCACCACAAAGAACGGCCTGACGTCACTTGACAGTCAGCGTTCACAAACGGCAGGACGGCAGCGCCATCAAGCCGCTCTTTCCTCTCATCCTCTAAAATACCTCGATACCTCACGTTACCCCCCTTTTATCCCGAACGTGAGGTACGTAGCTATTCTTTAGCGTTCCTGTGCCAAGGAAAATATACATATTCAAATCTAAAGTGGACGGCGACGTCGACACTTTATCACGACTTCCCGTCTCTGCTGCTTGCCTGTGCTTCCCATCAGACCATCTCGACTCCCACTCAACGTACTCATAAATCTGGCTGTCCAAATATCACTCAGCTCTAACCTTGACTTATTTTGGCCTTCACTTTAGACTCATCACCATCCGATGCCACCCAGAATCATCGTAAACCCTCTTCGGAACACCATCACCAATCGCCTCTCCCATCTACCCCGTCTATCCCACACCATGGCTGGCACCAAGGACCGCAAGGAGTCCAAGTTCTCCCACCTGCCTCTGAGCACCAGCGGCCCCATCAGCTGCGCTGTCACAGGCAGCGCGCTGTTGAACACACCGTACCTCAATAAAGGCACCGCCTTCCCCGACGACGAGCGCCGCGAGTTCAACCTGACAGGTCTGCTTCCCCAGAGCATTCACTCCCTCGACCAGCAGCTGCACCGCGCCTATGAGCAGTACAAGAGCCGCCAGGATGACCTAGCCAAGAATACCTTTCTGACGTCCTTGAAGGAGCAGAATGAGGTCTTGTACTATCGGGTATGTGTTTGAGTGTTATCAGATATTGAGACCTAAGTGATCTGAGACTGCTGCGTAGTTGTTGCAAGAGCATCTTCCGGAAATGTTCAGCATTGTGTACACTCCCACCGAGGGAGATGCCATCCAGAACTTTTCAAGGCTTTTCAGAAGGCCCGACGGCTGTTTCTTGAACATTAATGATATAGATCGAGTCTATCACGACCTCGCTCAGTGGGGGCGACCAGAGGATATCGACTACATTGTCGTTACAGGCATGTGCTTCCACCCCCGCCTCTGCTCCTCCTGACTTTCCAACTATGTCATTCCCGAATAATCCGCTGACTAGCTGCACTAGATGGAGAAGAGATCCTGGGTATCGGAGACCAGGGCGTTGGCGGTGTTTTGATCTCCGTGGCAAAGCTCGTCCTCACAACTCTATGCGCTGGTGTCCATCCCAATCGAACACTGCCTGTGGTGCTCGACTGTGGCACCGATAACGAGGAGCTCTTGAACGATGATCTGTATTTGGGACTCAGACAGAAGCGTGTGCGGGGACACAAATATGACCGCTTCGTTGACGAGTTCGTCAAGGCTGCCAGGAGGCTGTATCCTCGCGCCTACATCCATTTTGAGGACTTTGGCCTCACCAATGGTAAGTATGGTGGTTCTGCTTGGGTGGGAGCCCCTGCTGATGTGCGATGGACTACTAGCTAGGAGAATCTTGGATCAATACCGTCCCCATATCCCATGCTTCAACGATGATGTGCAGGGAACGGGATGCGTCACTTTGGCGGCCATCACGGCTGCTCTTCACGTCAGCAAGCAGAAGCTCACTGACCTGCGCCTGGCCATCTTTGGTGCTGGTTCGGCTGGTGTTGGAATCGCGGACCAGGTCAGAGATGCCATTGCAGCCGAAGGAAACATGAGCAAGGAGGATGCTTCTAAGCAGATCTGGTGCGTATATGTCCGAAAAACATACAAGCTGCATCATTCCTGCTAACAGAGTCACAGGTTGATCGACAAGCCCGGTCTTTTGACCACAGACAGCGAGGTATCCGCTGCCCAAAAGGGCTTCGCCAAGGACCCTTCAGACTGGAAAGACAAGGATGCGTCTCTCCTTTCCGTTATCAAGAACGTCAAGCCCAATGTCCTGATCGGAACCTCGACGAAACCCAAGGCCTTTACGGAAGAAATCGTCCGCGCCATGGCAGACGGCGTCGAGCGGCCCATCATTCTCCCTCTCTCCAACCCAACTCGCCTTCATGAGGCCGTGCCGGAGGATATCTACAAATGGACCGACGGCAAGGCCCTCGTCGCGACAGGGTCCCCTTCAAGCCAGTCAAGGGCCCCTGGGGCGAAGGCGGGAAGGAGATTGAGATCGAAGTCGCAGAGTGCAACAACTCTGTCGTCTTTCCCGGCATCGGCCTCGGCTCCGTGCTATGCCGGGCGAGCCTGGTGACAGATAAGATGCTCGTTGCGGCTGTAGAGGGCGTCGCGTCGCTAAGTCCCGCGCTCAAGGACCAGACGGCGCCGCTTCTGCCGGGCGTAGATGTCGTCCGGGACGTGAGTGTGAGAGTCGCGCGGGCGGTGATCAAGGCGGCTGTCAAGGAGGGCGTGGCGACGGAGGAGGGGATCCCGGAGGGGGACGAGGACTTGGACGAGTGGATCCGGGAGCAGATGTGGTCGCCCGAGTACCGCCCGCTCAAGCTTGTTGAATACAGTGAGGCGAGTAGGGAGGCCAAGGGTGAGATGAAGGTTGCTGGGAGCTTCAGCAGAGTCGGGAGCTGGTAAGATGCCGTCACTCAGTTCACGAGGTTCTTTCGAAAACGGCAAAAGGCAAAAGTACATGCAACACCGGGCATTCGCCGGTCGTCTCCGACCCGACTACTACTCCGGCCCTCACTGGTTTATCTATGGGAGAGCGGACGGGATCCCGAGTTCTCCGGTGGGTGTGGTCGCATGTGCTGTGTTGCTGGAGTGGTGATGCTGAAATCGGGTGGAGGTTGGTGGTGAAGCTCTGGAAAAGCTCTCCAGCCTCATCAGGGTCGTTGGAGAAAGGGAGGCAAAACAACCATTTGAAGTTTCTAAATTAGACATTAGATACTCGTCTGAATAGATTCGTGTAAAGAATCGCACATGATCATGTTGTAGTGTTGTTTGGTGAATTAATTGGGCGTTTTAATCGTCGTTTTCAAATGCCCGAAAGTGGTCATAGTGAAACCCCACGGACGAGTTGAGCGAGTTATCTCTCACAACCTCACCTAAATAAGAACCAGAGACTTACCCGAACGAAAGAGTCATTCGTTCGTGATTTTGAAGTACAACATGGGGAAAACTGATTCTCCTCATTGGCGAGACTTTCCGTGAGAGCTCACTTTCATCGCTCAGCAACGACGAGAGGCATTGAGATACAGGAAGGCCACTCCCACTATAGCAATACAATGAAGAAGCCCGCGGACAGCTATCATCAAGTCTCTCAATGGAAACGCCAACGTCGGATCTGTTTTATGCGACATGTACCTGCTTATTGATTTCTCAACTAACAAAATCGGCATTACTCCGCAAGTAAGCGTCACCCCATGGCCTTGATCCAGTCTCAACTTTCAAGTCAGCTACACAAGAACACCCAAGCGCCAAAGACAAAGAGTCATAAGCTCAATCATTAGTTTCGGCCTTGTCTGATTGAGTGTGCGAGACTGATGATTCAGAAGTACCAGCGTGAATCCCAGCTCGTGAACTAGAAGTTCCAGTGCCGTAAGCAAACTCTGAACATTTGTATCCATACATAAACACCAGGAAATCGAGAGACTGGGTCATGGAGAAGTTATCATCAAAGATTTTACTTTTTTTTATTTCTACTCAGCAACGTACTCATTGCTGCGACACATCCACCTTTGTCCACCAAAACTCCGACTCCTTCCTCGCCCACGTATCGGCACACAACCGCGCCGGAACACCCGCCTCGCCCCCAATAAGCTCCTTATTCTCCTCCGCAAACACCAACGCCTTGGGATCCTCGGCGACGTACCGCTCCCACGTGGGTCTCTCCGGCGCGCTCTCGCCACGCACGGCATTCGGGTCGCCCGCGACGATGAAACTGGCAAGGTACGCGTTCAGCGTCAGGCAGAGCTCCTTTTGCGTCGGCGAGATTTTGGTTTTCGCGGGCTCGCAGGCCTCATAGTACATGTTCTCGCCGTGGCGCGCGCGGTCAAGGAGAGAGCTCTCGAGGCCCCATTGGTAGAGGTAGATCGGCAGCGCCGGGTCCGCGCGGGAGGCGAGGTCTGCTGTTTGGCGGACGGGCGCGACGTAGGCGTATTGGCCGTAGGCGATTTCGAGGCGGCGGTATTGCGCGCCTGTGCCGTCGAGGGATTCCTTGTAGGGTGAGGTCGGGATGGTGAGGGGGTCCGGGTAGAGTTTGTCGATGGTCTCGACGTCCTCTTTGGAGAGCAGGGGGAGCAGGTCGGCGAAGAAGGAGGTGAATTGGTCAGACTTGGAAACCGTTTTGGATATGTAGATGGAGCCTTCGTTGCGGTTGAAGCCCGTCATGATGGGCACTTTGCGCCACTTGTTGAGGCGCCAGGATTCCATTGGCGGGCGGGGGATGATGTCGCCGTCGACGACGGGCTGGAAGGCCCAGCGGAGGGACGGGTTGTACTTGTCAAAGACTGCGATTTGGGCCTTTTGGACGACCTCGGTGGGCGCGGCGCGGAGGTAGGCAAAGGTCTCGGCGGCGGAGAGGTCTGGCGGGCAGCCTGTCTCTGCGAGGAAGTCTGCGAACTGGGCTTCGTGGATGGGGGCGCTGTAGGGGCGGACTGCGCGGGATGTTGGGGCGCCGGATTCGAGGATGACTTTGTGGAAGAGGGGTGGGTTGTATTGGCCTTCGTCGTTGATGAGGATGTGGCCGATCTGGGGTGGTTATTAGACTTGGGTCTTCTCTTTCATGGTAGAAAGGGAGGTAACGGTGAGCACTTACAGAGTGTGCTCCGGCGGAGATGCCAAAGAGGGTGACGTTGTTGGGATCTCCGCCGAATGCCGTGATGTTGTCGCGAACCCACTCGAGGAGAATGAGTTGATCTTTCAAACCGAGGTTCACGGAGCCCTCCTCGAAACTCTTGGTTGACGGCAGGAAACCGAGAGCTCCAACTCGATAGTTGAACGAGACTGCAATAAAAGCCTGTCCTGAGTTGGCAAGGAACGAAGCCGTGTTATGCATCATAGCCGTGCCTCTGTTGAATGCGCCGCCGTGGATGTACACAGCCACGGGCAACAGCGTCCCATCCCGAGACGACGAGACGGGCCGGAAGACGTTGGCGCTTAAACAGTCCTCACTGTACTCGAAAGCTGGACCGCCTGGGAAGAGCTGCTTGCCCGGCGCGACGGGACCCCATTTCGAGGCGTCGATTTCCTTAGTTGAGGGTTCAACTTTGACCGGCGCGCGGAACCTGCGATCTCCTGTTGGCGGGAGCGCATACGGAATACCCTTGAATGCTTCGACTGGCCGGGGGAGACTGTCTGACACGACTGTGCCGATGACGGTTCCCTGGGTGAGTTTCACTGAAGGACGGGCATCTTGAAACGTTGAACCCATTGTGACTGACTTTTGAAGTTTTGACTCTGCCTTGACACTGTGTGTGTAAAGACAAGTGATTGGAGTTGAGTTGAGTTGAAGAGTCCCAAGTCGCAATTCACAACTCACAACCGGGGTGCATCCCACGAAGCTCTTATCGATAATCGGCGTTCACTCGTACCGGCTTGCCGTTGAATTGCAGTTGACTTTAACACACCTCCCTCTCGGACAAGCTCCGGATAGTGAATGGCCTGACTAGTAATATTCCGTAGTTATCGAATGGTGCTTGGCGCCGTGGCGGGAAAGGCTTGATTAGACGTTAAATGATTGAGAGAGACTCAAAGAGGCTATTGATACCGGGGCTTTCCCGCGGGGACGAAACGGCCGATCTCGGCGAGACGTGCTTTCGGGCGCAGATCTGGGCGCCGGACTCCCCCTTTCAACTTTCGACAAGTTGAATAGAGTCAATAAATGCCCCCCGTTCCCGGCTTATCAGCCCCCGTCCGACTTGTGCTATCGGACGGGCCCCGACTCATGGGACCCCCCCGGCACGACTTCCCCGCGATAGCCAACTGCCATTGTTTCCTAGTGTGCCCAGCTGAATTCCCAGTCTTGCGGATAACGTCGCCCGTAAAATGTGGTTCCATATGGATCTGGCTTCAGATAAGACGTCCCATTGACGGAGTCCTGGGCCTCCGCGTTATCATACCTATCTACCTAGTTGTTTACCCCGGACTGGGTAGCGTGGCGTGGTCAGGGTTGTCGAGATAATGACCAATTGGCAATGAGACATTAAAGGAGTTATCCCTCTCTTCAGAGAGACGGGAAATCCTTGGGAAACCAGAAGAGAGGCTTCATCTTTGGATCTCCTATCTCAGGACCACCACGCTCACCTTGCCCAAGCATTGTTTTCGAAGTGACCCACCTACATCGACAACAATGGCCGAGAAAGTGTCCAAAGACATCAAAGTCGCCGAGGATGGCCTCGAGCCGACAAAGTCCTTCACGGCAGGCGAAGTCGCCCACCTCGACGAGTCTGAGGCCTTCCTTCAGGAGAACAACATCACGGAAGAGTACCTCGCCGAGCTCGTCAACGACAAGGAGAAGAATCGCCGCCTGGTCCGCAAGATCGACCTCATGATCCTCCCGCTCCTGGCCGGCACCTACGTCTTGCAGTACATTGACAAGCAGGCGCTATCATACGCCGCCGTCTTTGATCTCTTCTCCAGCACGAGCGTCACGCAGACAGAGTACTCGTGGTTTGCGAGTATCTTTTACCTGGCCTACCTGGTCGCTGAGTACCCATGGGTCTACATTGCGCAGAAGACGCGCATGGGCAAGGTTGTGGCGGGATGTGTGTTGTCGTGGGGTTCCGTTTTGATGATTACGGCTGCGTGCTCCAACTTCCCGGGACTTGCAGCGTGCCGTTTCTTGCTTGGAGTTTTTGAGGCGCCCATCACGACGTGCTTCATGATGATGGTTTCCATGTGGTAAGTCTCAACGTCTTCCACCCCCCTTATGTTGACATTGTCCTAACGCGTGCATCAAGGTACGTGCGATCGGAACAGCCCATGCGAGCAGGACTCTTCTACTGCTGCAACGGTGTCGGCAGCATGCTCGGCGGCGTTCTCAGCTATGGCATCGGCCAAATTGACTCTTTCCCCGTCTGGAAGGCCGTCTTCCTCATCTGCGGCGGCATCACCGTCGTATGGGGCGGCCTGCTCCTTGTCTTCCTCCCAGACAGCATCCTGAGCGCCAAGAGATTCTCCCTCGAGGAGCGAGCCCTCCTAGTCGGCCGCGCGCGTCTCGCAAAGACGGGCGTCCTCAACAAGACAATCAAGTGGTACCAAGTCAAGGAGGCCTGCCTCGACCCCCAGGTCTGGCTGCTGACGCTCTTCGTCCTGCTCAACGAGGTCATTAACGGCGGCGTGGCCAACTTTGGCAAGCTTATCATCAAGGGACTCGTCTCTGACCCGCTGCTGACCACGGCGCTGGGTATCCCGCAGGGCGCGTTCCAGGTCTTTTGGATTCTCACGGGTGCCTACACCGCGTCGAGGTTCCGCAACCAGCGCACAACCGTCATGGCGGTGTGGCTCATCCCCACCATTATCGGCTGCTGTATGATCTGGAAGCTGGACAGAACGCACTACAAAGTCGGCGTCCTGTTTGGCTACTACATGATTGGCTGCTACGTCGCATCCCTGGTCCTGGCCCTGCAGATGCCGGCGACGAACCTCGGAGGATACACCAAGCGCATCACGGCCTCGGCCATTGTCTTCACGGCGTACTGCGTGGGTAACATTATTGGGCCTCATGCGTTTTTGGCCAAGGAGGCGCCGTTGTACGAGACTGGGTGCAAGCTCATTCTCGCGTGCTCTGCTTCGCAGGTGGCTATTGCTACTGGGTTGCGGATGCTGCTCATTCGCCGTAACAAGCAGAGAGATGCTGCTGCGGCGGCGGCTGGTATCTCGCCGGATGCTGAGCACGAGGACGAGGGTGTCGATTTGACAGACAAGGAGGTGAGTTTTCTGAGGTTCTGTGACAGTCAAGAGATCTTGACAACTAACATGTGGATAGAACCCCAACTTCCGTTATGTATTGTAAGATGTTTCGGGGCGGGACATGTTATAGAAATTACTATAGACAAGAATCTGTTTAGAAGAGCGACCAATTATGAGACCATGTTGATATTGAGAATCATACTTGAACTGTGAAGCAAAGTAGAGCGTAAGTCGGGATTGCCCACAGAAAGCCGGAAATGCGGCTGGGCAGTCGGCCGGGTGGCTGTATATCCGGGCTGTGGCTGTGGATATCGTCTACGGAAACCCTTCTAGATAAGCCGGAGCTTCTAGGTATTCTTATCCTTGATAACTCGTCCCGTTCTTATTTCGTCTGTGGAATCTGGATGTAGTTTAATCATGGACCCTTAGGACGGTCGTCCGTTAAATTGCAGCCATCTTGTCACCAAGCACAGCCTCGAAGGGAATCGGGACGGAAAAGTTGGGGATGGAATCATATTCATATTGACAGTCCGGCATCTGCGCCTAGACATGTGAGACCCGTATCTGTACCATGACGAACACCTTAACAGCCACGGCTTTTTCAAGGCCTGCATCAATCTGCGGCACGGGGGCTATCAGAGTAGCCCCAGAATCCTCGACCATGGGAGACCATCGAGGGTGGCACGAGAATCCTTCGCTAGCCGGGGGCGTGGAAGAGGAGCAAAGATATCGCATCGGGAGCGAAGGGGGCGAGGGCGACTGGTCACTGGGGACTTTTGTGGTAGATTGTTTTGATCTCGAACGCGGAAAATCTCATTTTGTTGGGTAGTCGTGAACCATTCCTATGCCATTTTCCTCTCCGCAGAGAGCCGGACGCCTCGAATTGGCGATATACCATGCAACCAACTCTAGATCCATGATGTCGACCGACCAGACCGAACGACTAGACCCTTTTGACAAGTCAGCCCAACCGTCCGACTGTTGTAAACAGCCCTTTTGCGAGCCGTACAATAAAACTCCCGACGTACCATCCTTCACCCACCGAGGTCGCATCCTTTCAGCATTTAGCGCTGACCGGACCAGACAGCCTTGACGAGGCCATCGCGCTGGGCCAGACGGTTGAAGGCATCGTCGCTCTCGCCCATCGCACGAACGAAACCGGAGAGGGCGTAGACGTGGTTCTCGCCGGGGACGGCGCGGCCGTTCTCGTCAACCTTGGCGACGGAGATCTGGACGGAGGCGTGGTCCTTGGCCTTGATGATGCGGTTGGTGGCGCTGCACTTGCGCGGAACGTAGCTATTCGGCGAAGAAAAAACAAGAGGTTAGCATGAGACTCTCGATATCGAATTTTGGTGTAGTCGCGCTTTTCCCACGAAAGCTTCCTCTTCTTCGATTTCGACTCGCGCGGAAAGTTCGTGGGATGGTTCGGTATGGGGAGGGGGATTTCTCACAGATCGACGATCTCGCCCTTGTCGTTCTCCATTGCTGCGGCTTGCGTTCGGGGTTGACTAGAAGCAAGTAGGTGGTGGTTTGCGTGGATGTTGTCGTTCGCGGGGTCGAGATGCGGGAGAGCTGTGGTAGACTGACTGCCTTCTTTTTTCGAAATTTCGTGTGGGCGGGCCGAAGCGGCAGGAAAGGGTTGAGATCACGTGGATCTAGCGACGACTGCTTACCTCATACTGGAGATAAGATAAGAATCCTGTCATTACCAAAATGGAAAGAATGGTCTGTGCTTCAATGACCAGGGGGCTCCTTCTGACCCCTGCTGCAGATACGGTACGTATCCATTGGCCTGGAACTCGGTCCCCTCCACTCCACGCTTCCTGCTGTTGCGCGTTGGTGAGTGCAGGTGCTTTGTTGATGTTCAAAGTTGACGGCGTGAATTCCATCCAAACTGCCACCGCCACTCGAATGCGCCCCCCCTCTCCCTCCACCGGCCTCTCTGACTTCGGAAGGGAACAACCGATGCCTCCGTCATCTGTGTAATTGAACGGCTGCTTTTTCCCGCCGGCACACCCACCAAAAGTTCAATCTGCTGCGAGTCGCATCGAAAACATGCGCTTTGCGCATCACGACGGGTTTGCCGAGATTCACGATGGGGTCGCCGTTTCGAAGCACCCGTCATGACGCTTATAAACTCTCCTCTTCGCCGAGCTTGCCATCTCTGGACCAGATCAAGTCTCAATTCCCCAAGCAACCCCCCCTTAGAAGCCCCATGGCTGCCACTTCCACACCAACACATGCGAGCCACCACTTCGCCAACCCCTCGAGCTTCCTTCGCCAGGAACAACCTGCGATCGACTTGACGACACCATGTAGAGATGAGCCGGTAACAACTCGACCACAAGAAGAGGAGGAGGAGGTCACAGTGATATCCATTGCGAACGTACCCAGACCGAAACGCAAGAGAGGCGTCAAAGTCTTCGAGAAAAAGGCGTTTCAACCGCCTTCACCCTCCAAACCGATCCAAGATGCGTCTGCCAGTCCACCATGGAAGAAGTATGCGAAGCCCAAGAAACCAGCTGCAAAGTCTGAGAAAAAACCCAAGACTGCGAAGCCCAAGGCAGCAGCAAAGAAGAGTGGTGTTCAGAGTCGCCACTTTGCGAAGCCCAAGGTTGAAGGCAAAGAGGATTCACCTTTACCACCACCAGAACCAGAGAAGGATGCGAATGAGCCATTGGAGCTCGAGGCGGCACTGAGACGTCGTGTGGACTGGACACCGCCGCCAGCCGACAATGGCATGGCTTCAGGATCGAAATCTTCCCAGGCCATCGACCTCCTCTCCTCGACTGTGGAAAGCCCAGGCCATGCCGCGTCGAAGGAAACATTTGACAATCTTTTCGAAAAGTTTGGCCGGCCAGATGAGGAATTGAAGAAACCCTCGGTTGAGCCGTCCGATGGCGACAGACGGGTGTTGAAGAAGAGGAAGTTGACCGAGACATTGCCCATCAACGAATCGTCAAAAATGGGGCCACCTCAGAAAGGGCCCTTGAAAGTAAAAGCACCGAGGAAGAAGCCGCGTACAATCACCGAACTGGCCACGGCAGCCTATGTAGTTCCAGACGCTACAGAACAGGAGCAGCCGTCTGCGCCTCCAGTCGAGATTGTTGAGGACGGACCAGAGACTACGAAAACAAAGGGAAAGAAGAGGGCATCCAAAGCAAAGAAACCGAAAAAGGTCCCTCCACCAGAACCCATTCTGTTATCACCAACTGCAGCCCTCAGACAAGCTGCGAAGCAAGATTATGTTTTCGGGACTTCGAGCCAGCTGGCACGTGAACACTCGCCCACTTTCCTTAGGGATCTCCAGTCTGCGCTGCAGGCATCAAATTCCAAGAGAGAAGATCGTTTCGTGACCCCGATCAATAGCGACGAGGTTGAGCCAGAACCCAAGCAAAAGCTTTGGGATGTAGGCGCGAGAGACGAGGATGGCAGGCTGCTGGACTTGGAAGTCATCAATCTAGCCGACACTCCACAGGCAGCACCCGGCGTCGCAGATGGTCTCAACCCTTTTGGTTATGCCGGAACCGAACAAAGAGTGGCAGCTCTGCCGGCTCACTTGCCATCTGATGTCTCTTTTCCTGACATTGAAGACCTTCTGGCCAAGGATATGGCAATCGACTTGCCGCCACATCCTGTTGTTTCTACACAAGAGAAAATAAATGCGCCTTTACCAGCCCATATGTTGTCGGACATGTCCTTTCCAGATATTGACGATCTTCTGGGAAAAGAGACCGATCAGGATGGCAAGCCTCAGACTCAGAAACAAGCATTACCCTCTTCGCCGCCCCCTAGGTCAGCTGAGATCACAGTTCCGTCAGTCGAAGTGCTGTTGGTGTCTTCTGGTTCTGGACCAAATCCTGAGGAAGTAGCTAGCACTCTGCCACCACTGGAGTCGCCGCCAGCACAAGCCTCGAAAGCGTCCAAGTCTGTAGCGACGGAGGATACGGCCCCAGAGATGGCGAAACCAGACTTCGGTCTCTACACTGACAACCAACTTGCGCGAGAGATTTCGTCGTACGGATTCAAACCAGTCAAGCGAAGGCAAGCTATGCTCGCCCTTCTAGACCAGTGCTGGGTGGGCAAGCAAAGGACTGCCCTTTCATCGCTTCCTACAAACCGCCCCATCTCGACCACGTCCCAGGCACAAGCTGCTGCCAAGTCACAGAAACTAGCAGCTACCGCTTCTCCAAAGAGGCCGCGTGGTCGCCCGCGAAAGACTAGTTTAGTCGAAGCTGAAGCTGAAGTTGAAATGCCTTCCAGTGAGCCGCCACCGTCCGCTCAGCAGCCATCGCCGTCGCCCAAGCGAGGCCGTGGTCGACCAAGGAAGAATCCTGAGTCGACGACAGCTACTCCCTCGACGGCCAGTAAGAAGGGCAAGTCGAAAGCAACACCTGGCGCATCAAAAGAGCCCAAAGCATCTAGGAAGGCGGCTTCGCCAGTGGCATCACCGCCTCGGAAGAAAACGAAAGTAACAAAGGTCATCGAGATCCCGGACTCGGAATCAGAAGGGCCGCTTTCCTTGTCACCCTCGCCATGCTCTTCACCCGAGCCGACTTTCTCACCTGCTCCTGAAGAAGCTTCGGTGTCAATTGGCGACGATACAGAAATGTCACTCGCAGCGTCCCAAAGCCAGCGATCGGAAGTCTTGTTCGTGCGCATCACTGAAGCTGTTACCTCGGCGCCCCCAACGACGGATTCCAAGAACCCATCCTTTCACGAGATGATGCTGATGTATGATCCGATTGTGCTTGAAGATCTTGCTGGCTGGCTCAACACCGGACAATTATCCCGGGTTGGGTATGACGGTGAGGTCTCGCCGTCGGAAGTGAAGCAGTGGTGTGAGTCAAAGAGCGTTTGTTGTCTGTGGCGCGAGAGCTTGAGAGGAAAGGAGCGGAAGCGGTACTGATTCGGAGCCTACGTTATGCATTTACGATACCCATTGAATAGTCTTGCATTGATTAGACACGGTCGTCACAATAAGATTTCTGGTGTTGATTGAGATGAGCCTCTGGCGCCATCTCGATAACACACCTTACATCACACAACATTATGCTTCACTCAAGATAAATCCGGTTGAGAAACTGTGATGTTCGAATTGATGTCCCCTTATTGAGATGAAATGTGCGGTTAGGCCGCATTGTCTGGCGTTGTAGTTGTTTTGAGAGTTAGCAGCAGGGCGCGGTCACAGGGCGCACACCGAACCTCGGCAAAAACGTCAACCCCCGCCGGGTCGGTGATCTTTGTCCCAGACACCTCATGACTTTTGACTCGAGCTGATCGGCTATCACCGTCAGGTTCTCAATGTCTTCGTTATCCCCATTATCCCGTACAGGTAGATTCTGTTTATCAAGAAATTCATTGATACAATCAATTCGATACCCAAGCTTCTCATTGCACTCATTTTCACGTTCAATTGCGACGCGCATTTCGAGCAGGGATCTCCAGCCAAACACGTCACTCATAGCAACGCCCGTTTCACGCACCGCCCGACAACAAGCGAGCGCATCGAATATCATCATCATGTCACAGCAGCGTTCATCGTCTTCATCGCTGCCAAAGCGCGAAAGAGAGGTTATGGAGCCTCGGCCCAGTGCGAGGTGAGTTCCGCTCATGATTAGACATTCAGGCTTGGTGTCAGCTCACACAGCCCGACTCATAGCATCTTGCTCCTCTCACCGACTAACCAGGTTCTCCTGCTCCACCGGGTGAAGACATCGACATCGTTCGCGTCAGCGCATGTGTTCCCAGGTGGAAATCTAGACCCATTCCATGATGGAGAGATCCCTCCAAGTGATGCTCGTGAACGGCACGAGGATGGCCACGCGTATCGGCTAGGTGCCATCCGTGAGTGCTTCGAGGAGACGGGCATTCTCCTCGCCACGCGGAAGGGCTCTGACGACAAGTCTACGCTCGTCAACGTTCCCACGGCAGACAGAGAGAGGGCTCGCAAGCAGATTCACAGCGGCAAGTTGCGGTTCAGCGAATGGGTCGACAGCGTAGGCGGCGTCCCCGATGTTGGTAAGCAACGAACAGCTACGTCGAGCGCTTTCATCGCAAGACTACGCGAAAGATTCAGTATCACTCACGCTTTATACAGGACGCCTCATCCCCTTCACCAGGTGGGTGACGCCTACCAACGTGCCCAAGCGCTTCACAACGCAAATGTACATCTATATGCTCCCACACTCGGCCTCCACCGGCGCCGACGCCGCAGAGAACGAAATCATCGTGCCGACCCCGGACGGTGGCGTAGAGCACACGGCCGCCAAGTTTGACGACGCGTGGACCTGGCTCTACCGCGCCGACAAGGGCGAGATCATCCTCTTCCCGCCGCAGTATTACCTCCTGTACCTGGTCTCGCAGTTCTGCAAGGCCGCCGCCCCATCCCCGGCGCCCGGCAAGGGCCACGGGGACGCGTACTTTGCGTCGCAGAGGCGGGGCCTAATGGATTTCCTTCACAGGGCGCCTACCGCTGTGACCGAGGCGGGTCGGAAGCAGCCTTCGTCGGAGATTCCGTGGGCGCACAAGGTGATGAGCCCGCATAACTTGTTCATTCGCGAGGGGGATAATCGTATCGTGCTCGGGCTGGATAAGCCTGGTCCCGAGCTCAAGGGGTCGGGTCGTGGAGGTGATTGGGAGAGGGTTGTGTTGGTCAAGTTCACGAGGGATGGGCCGCGCAAGGTCGAGGTAAGGGGTCGCGAGGAAGTGTTGAGGGAGGAAAAGGAGGCGAAGAGGGCCAGGGAGGCAGAGGAGGGCGAGGGCAGACATAAGCTTTGAAGTTGTGGTGGTCGTCGACGGTCGATGGCCATAGAGTCTAGAGATACTGGTTAGTTGATGAATGAGAAGATGTTTCATTACCTGGCTTTAGGATCGGGTGATGATGGTCTGACGCTGAACATGTCAGAAGAGAGAGACAACAACTCGTGATGTAGCACCCGCGTAGTCATCTCACTTCACCCAGGATTCTGGTCAGCGGTTTTTTTTGGCATTCTACCACCACACACCACCGATAAAAACCTTAAAAGTTGCTTTAAACGATGAGAAGAATGAGATCTGATGGATCTCAAATGGTCGAAGGCAGAAGAGCATTGGTTATTGTGCAGAAAATAAGGCAACCAGGGACACCCGTTGCAGGAGTTCTCGAGTCAGGGCGGCCACCCCCTTCCCCCCCTCTGCCCTGCCAGGCGAACCACCTCTTCACAGCAAAAATAGCCTGGGGAGAGAGTGTCGAAGACTTCTGGATCTGGGGGATGCGAACCTCCCCGAGAAACTTCTCGGCCCAAAGGGTGAGCCTCCTAGCAGAGCCTCACCCTCAAAGAGGTGCTTTGCCCCGAACCGAAGGAGACGCAACCCCACATCCAGCAGCGCAAGCATACTGGGACGGTTGGAACCAAGGTGATTGCAGTACGATCCTTGCTCTCTAGCCTCTGGGGCCGCTTTCAGAGGGGCCGCAGTGAATGCAGCCTCCATCCTGGCCATCCATCTTTCTTCTTCCCCCCTCATACCTATCCAAGAAGGCGCTGATATTACACCACCCTCCCTAACCTCGCCTGTTGATCGATCATTGGCTCAAGATACTATGATCTGATAGCCTAACTCCGCTTAATCCGTGCTTGTGAACAAGCTCGAGGTAAGCTCAAACTTAGTTTACTGGTGTCTCGCACAAAGATCTGCCAGTCGTGGGGAAGGTAGGACATGTGTTTCCCGTGATGCTCATTCTTGATTCATGTTCTCTCACACATCGAACCAATGTCAAGCCCGTCAGCAATGCTCCCCCACGCAATATACGCAATGTTCATGCGTAAACATCCTTCAACTCCGATGACTGGTCTCGTACCCGAACATGAGGCTCTGTTCTCGGAGACAGCGAGAGTCTGCCACCGCTTCAACTTGCATCGCGTACGCGCTCGCGCTCGCGCTGGCGCCCTCCTCTTCATCCTTGATCCTCGTCCGTCTATCGTCACTTCGTGGTCGCCAAAGAAACGCCATACAGCCATTAATCTTGTGGCTTTCTTCCCCCTCCTCTTCATACGTGGCATCCGAAACGACTATTTCCCCGGATGGCTTCGGTCTCGTGGACGCAGATCATACCATCATGACGTTGAGTCCCATCGTTTCCTTTAATGATTTGATCAAAGCCCCGTCAGGCTGTTAACTCGAGACGGTAAGCCAAGCAGACATTCTCCCCAGAAGCAGTGCCGACCTAGTTTGCGCCCAATCGTATATCGTGGATCGCATGTTGGATCTTTGGCCAGCCGTTCGTCCCGCATTGTCACACCGGTTCTTTTGATCGAATCTAGGCCTTTTGAATCAAGCGTCCAAAACCAGTCCTTCAACCGGAACCGTTGGTCTTTCCGTCTCTTCTGCTGTCTTTAGCATCTGAAGTAACCGTATCCCTGCATAAAGTAGGTTCACTCTCCATCGCAGATCATCGGCTCGCCGATGTCAAGTTCGCATTTGCCGAGTCAACACCAAGCTCACTTACTTACCTCACCCACCTCCGAAAGCTGCACTGTATGGTAGCACGCTCCTTCGACAAGCCAGTCTGAAGGAAATTCGTGTCGTACAGAGTCGACCCTTTAGGGATAATACTCAGCAACGGGTAGTGGCTCGCAGGCTGGTACCACATCGTAACGGGCGCTCTGTATGTGCCCTTGAAAATTCATGGGAAAGAAAACCATGGCAGGAAGAATAAAAGCACACAATTATCCTAGAGAACCCCTCTTTCTTGCATGGATGTGACTTCTTGATTGGAAGGTTCGGAATCGCTGTTGGTGGGCTGCAGGAAACGTGCATACCAGCCATAGAAGCAACAGCGGATCTATGCTGGATTAGTATTTCCCCCCGGGGCATGGCATTTGCCAAAGATGAGAAAGAGGGAGAGAGAAAAAGAGAGTGCAGATTGAGGGGGACCAGGGATTTTGGCGCTAAACTGCTGTGCAAGGAAGGTCAAAAGGTTGATAATGGAGTATCGTTGCAAGGATGCTGGTCACCTCTCCCGTCTTCCCTTACCCGAGTTCCGTAGTTCTGATGTTCCCATGATCCGATCGATTATCTGTGGCACCTATGCCTATCGTAGCTTCATCCGAAGGGTGGAAGAGGGCTGGTAAGATGTATCGATGAGCCAATCAGGACTCCGGCGCCCAGAGAAGGATTCGACTCTTTGAGGTATGGAAGGACAGTCTCCAAGCTACGACATATACGCAGAGCCGCAAAGCTCACGGCATCTTAAGCGGTGTGGTTGGACAATCTTATGGATCCATCCCTCTCCCGTACGGACCGTCTGGCGGTTTGGGGCGGGTGGAACGGCATGTGGAGGAGGTCGCTTGCGGGCTTGAGGGTCTCAGGTGCGGCCGCGGGAGGGGGTGAACTAGCATCTATACCCTCCGGGAGTGGAACGTAATGCGTGCTTTATGGAGAAAGCAAATGACCGGGTCCATAGATTAGGAATGGGCTCGTAAGCTATGCTATGTTGCCCGATGAACTGCATGTAGATGAATATCAAATCAGATCCAAAAGAGACAAGAGTGACCCATATGTCTTGGAGATGCTGCTCGGAAAGTGAAGTTATAAATACCGGAGATGTCTCCCATCTCGACAAGCATAGTTTCACTGCAAATCAAACCAAAATTCCCGAAGCTGGACTTCCTGAAACATACAAACGTCCAATCTCATTCAAGATACTTCGCAAGTTCTGTGGCCGAGCCACTGCCCAAGTCTGATACCAACTCTTGACTCACCTTTCTTTCATCATGCCCGAGTATGCTCCTACCTTTCATGACAGACTACGTAATAGTTGAAGAGAAAACGAACTAAACCACCGATAGCGAAACTCCTCTCAGCACTTTCATCAACACTCCGACCGTGACTGATTTTATCGCCATGGGGGGCGACGGATCGCCGTCGCCACAGCAATGAAGAGGTAGGCCTACAAGGGCCAGGGCTGCAGAGATGGTTTCCTAACACGACAAACGCTAGGAACGGGGACTGAGTGAATAACATGGCATTTCTTTTGATACCCTCTTGCATTGGAGTTCGAACAAACCCCTTCTTTTCTGCCCTCGAGATTGAGATCTGCTGGACATGGGCTGGAAGCAACATGAGGGGTTAGTGGGAAGACTGCAGCGCGGTTGGTCACTTCCATCAACGTAGTCAAATTAATCACTGCTTTTGCACTGAAATCCTGCTTAAAACTATGTAATATGTGACTATTCAATCTTGCTAAAGTGTGCCAATCCTTCCATCATGGTCATCTGCTTATAACGCAGATTCTTGCGCGGCTATCTTTGCAGAAGAGGCTGTAACACGCGGATAGCTTCTGGGAAGTGTTATGATATGCATATCAAACCGAAAGTGAGGGGAGGAAGGATGAGGGAACTGACAAGGGGATCGGAGAAGGAGGAGCAGCGGAGGATACCATAGAACGCAGTGAAAAGAGGCGAGAGCCTGATAATACTGTGTAGTCGTGAAAGACATTAGCCGAAGAGCATCTGCACCCGAGCCGTCTACCGCCCGTCCTCGTGCCGGTCCATGGCGCCTATCATGTACTAGGCGGGACGAAGTGGGTGGGGGAAGCTGCAGAATAGCCAACCGCCGGAGGGATGATGGTAGAGTGATGGGAACATGGAGCAGCGCGCCAACTCATGGAGGTAGTCGCAGAGCCTCAAGGACCGGGGTCTGGGACGTCGTGGTTGGCTACGTACCCCCGTGTAGCTGGCGGTTGGAGGCGGCAGAACGGGGCCGGTTGTGCTCGGCGGTTTGGGCCTCTTCCGGCCGCAGAAGAGTGGAGTTGAGCGACGGTGGGAGGTTGTGTTGCCGTGGGGTGTATCACACACGAAGCTTAAGATGACCAGCTGATCAATGATTAGGAGTTAGTTCGTAAGCTATCTTGTAGATCAAATGAGAAATCAGAAGCTATGGAGAGAACTTGAGCGATCTCGGTCTTTCGGTTCGGAAGACGAGAGACCTGGATGTCGACTAAAATCTATAAGTACCCCTCAAATTGCCTTGCGACGAGAGGTTGAAGATTCCATAGCAAAGAAAGCATAGCTAAGATCCACTTGAAATCAAAATCCTAACAACAACCTACTACCGAAACCTTTGGGAAAAGGTCAAGCTGCTGGCTATACCTCGACAAGATCTGAACCCCACTCTCCCGACAGCTTATCGAAGTCTAAGCTAGGGTCAAAATGCCCAACTCGCAAGTCTCATCTTGACTGTAGATCTAGTGCAAGTTGGCTTACAGGAAATCAAGTACACCAGCTCCCCAACCTTCGCCAGCCCCCCAGTTGGACTCATTTATCAAGAACACTGATTCAGTCCAAGATCGGCTGTACGCCGGGTCAGCAGCGGCGGCGAAGGGAACCAAAAGTAGCTGATCTAAGTATCGGAAGCTTTAGAATTGATGTAGGGAGATGCGATTAGGTCATAGGAAAGGAATCAGGAGAAGATCATTTGACGCCTGCTTTATTGTAGGGCTTTGTTGTAAGGTCACAACTTATTTGGTGAATTTGACAAACAAAACTTTGAGCCCTTGAATCCTGATGTAAGAAGTTTTGATAGACGTGGCCTTTGCGCATACATGGGAGGCCACTCTCATGTTGACGGTTATCCCTCTCTTCAAAGACGAGCTGATACTTGGAGCTAGGACGCGTGGCTTGGTCTCGTCTACTTCAGCTCTGCTCATACTGTGCCTCTTCTTATATCTCTGGCCTATTCTCACATAATTACCTGGGCAAGGGGAACGACGAGGAAACCTGGGTCTTGCTTGTTGATCTCAATGATTGCTATACGATGAAAAGGGGCATTCGTCCGTTATCTAAGCCAGGAAGCCAGCGGTGCCAGCGATCCCGAGCTCCTTCATCTTCTGCTCGAGGGCCTCCTGAAGCTCCGCATGGGCCGCCTTTTGCGCCTCCGCAAACTCCTTGGTGTCGCTCACACCCATCTCGGTATCACTGTCCTCATCCACGTGCTCTCCATCCTAGTCGGCCTTCTTACGTCGGATGATCTTGCCCATCATCTTCTTGCGCTGTTCATCCGTGAAGTCGGCAAAGATCTCCTCGGGCTCATCGCTAGGCTTCTCGTTGCGGAATTCGTCGATAGCGAGGGCGGTGGCCGTCTCCTTTGCGTAATCCTCGATCGGGTGCTGTCTGTAGCGGGAGAACTTGACGGCGATTCTTCGAGCTTCGTAGAGGCACATCATGACCTCGGCTGCGACGGTCGGCTTCATATCCTTCTTGGCAGCGACGACCCATGGGGCTTGCTTGGCAGCGAGGAGAAGGAGACCAGGGATGCTCTCAGTGATGTGGGCTTGATGGTCGGAGAGTCTGTCGGCCTCGAGGAAGAGCTTGGCCATGGCGAGGTCGACGGCCTCCTTGTCGAGGTTGGAAGACACGGCGCGGAGCGCGTTCTTGAAAGCCATGCCCTCGTACATATCCTCAAGGATCTTGATGTCCTCACCGGCGGCGTTCTGGTACATCTGGAAGCCTGGGCCGGACAGGAGGACGCGCTTGAGGGTATTGGGTGTGGGCTTGGTCTTGCCCTTCGCCTTGTCTGCCTTACTGGCCTGATCTTTGACGGGGCCAGCCAGCGACTCAACGATGGGAAGCTGGGATTGAGACATTGTGATCCCTTTGAGAAGATTAGAAATTTGAGGATGAGAGAAGATGAGATGGTTGAACCTACGCTGTAGAGAGATGACAGGACGGGCTCGGTTGCGATGAAAGGTCGGATCAAGGGTCGTAGTATACGCAAAGGCTGGCGAAGATCGATGATGGGTGAGAGCAGGGGCAAAGATGGAGAAGAAGACTTTTCCAATGTTGAGTCTGACGTGGTGAAGTGAATCCAGAAGGTGCGGCAAGCGAAACATCCAGTGGTACTCGGTGAAGGTCGGTGAGAGTGAGATATCACAGCAGAGGGCAGGTACGCGTCAACAAACCACCTCGCGTCTCACCGCCCGCAACGCGCCAGAAGTGAGAAAGAGAGGCGACTCACTTCACCTTCGCTCCTTCCCTTCACCATCTGACGCCCGCGTGACCTACTTCATTGCACAAAGGCTCTCGTTCTTCCATCAGGGCGGCTGGGTGGCTGAGAGGTGAATCTCTTGGCTATCTGTCTAACAGAAATCGATACTCCCCAGTTCGATTCTCGGTCGTCGCGCAAAAACTATCGAAACCACTGGACGTATTTAAGACAGGGTAAGACTTGACCAAAGTGCGACCTTTAGCAGTGGTTTCTTGTGCCCAAAGCCTCAGATGCTGCGGGCGTTTGAGATCCGGTTTCGGTACTACGTGCCTGATAAATATTTGGAAACACCCTCTGGTCAATTAACCATCAATCTTTTTTTTGCATTTCTATTAAAAGTTATATTGTGTTATATGTTCTGCTATGTTACTCTTGTTACGGTCGATCGTCAGCCGTGTTTATAAGTGACCCTGCATAGAGAATGATTACCGGGCAGTGATGACCAGTAAGACATGATCGAATACATTGACACCACAACGGCTTGAGCTATAGTAAGCAAAGAAACGACGTAGATCAAGATAATGAAGCTTGACTTCGTGTGGGATCTAACTTAACCGCCGCCACCACCACATCCACCACCACCGCCGCATCCTCCACCCGAACCCATGCCCACTATTCCCGCTCCATGAGCGCAGCCTATCGATTGAAAGACGTCAGAGCATGTAAAAAAGAAGGCAGACGAGAGCGAAAAAACTACTTACCGCCGAGTTGACGACTTGCTCCAGACCAGTACCCCTGATATCAGACCACATTAGATACTCAACTTGAGAGATGCATGAAGGTAAACGACTCACAGCCATGTTGGTGCAACCACCAGGGCCGCCACATCCACCAGCGGCGATATTGTTTGAGCCGCATAGTCCCTGAGCGCAGTCGGCCCAAGACCCATGAAGGACACCGGGGTTTCCAGCAGGATAGACCCCTCCGATGAGGTACGCGGGATAGTTGTAGGGACTATCCCTATGATGCGTCTTGCCCCAGTTGTTATAGAACTCCTCCTTTGGCGGCAGCGTCCTTCCTCGTTTCGCTGCGCGCTTCTTTGCTCGCTCGTAGGCGTCATCGAGGCGCATTCTCCAGGCTGCGCGGAGCTGGCGATGCGCTACGTTGTGAGTGGCAGATCCGTCCGTGCGAACGGAGTTGTGGGCGGAGATGTGGACTGAGTTGGATGGAGTACAGACCTGCGAGGCTGTCGCTTTTTCGAAGCTGTCGATGGCTGTAGGTAGGAGTGTCAGTATCTTGGACCTTGTGCAGGGGTGCTGTTCATTCAACGTGCCTTTCTGTGGCTTGCTTTTGCCAAAGACGGAGGAGCTGTCGATTGTAATCTTTGCTCGTACGGCTGTTGAATATGGTGAGCGAGTGCTCTTGATTATGAAACGGAAAGGCATAGGTTGCTTCGAGAAGCATTGGCCAGACCTTCGCAGTACCAGCAGGTGCATTCCGAGTAGACTTCGTTGAACTTGTCCAAGTAAGTCTTGCTAGTCAACTCGAATGAGTTGGACAGCTGGTCTTGGTCAATTTTGTCGTTGTGGTCAATGAACTTGGCCTCCTTGCTGGTGCTCATGGCGGTGTTGTATGTTGAGAACTTGTAGTAAGCTCTTGGGGCCAACTGGTGAGTATGCCAGGCGAGGTCCACATCCAGCGTAGGTACCGTCAGAGACATGGGATACTCGGTCATGATGAGCATGAAGCGTTGGTACTTTTGAAGAAGCCGATCCATGGTACCCCTCGCACTGGGACTGTGTAGCCAGTCGATCTGCAAAGGACTCTTGTTAGCGCTCTCAGGGGCTGGGAGTACAAGTCATGATACTGACGTTGAACATCTTGCCGATGAATACCCCCTGACGCATCGTCGCTCCAACAAGGTTGAGCGCGAAGATGGACGCATTTTCCCAGTACCTCGACATCATCTTGCTGCTCTGAAAGCGTTCCGTTCGCGTGATTAATCTCCCGCCTGTCCCGTCCCTCTTGTCATAAGGGGCTGGCCTTGCCCCTTGTATTCTCTCAAAGGCGCCATCATCAGTCAATGCAGCTGAGACCAGGTCTCGAACATCCTTCATCGTTGGCGTCTTTGCTTGACCGGGACTGATGAGTCGTAGCAGCTGCTCGGAAATCCCCTGCCCAATCAGTCTGTTTGGAAATGTGACATCCTTGAGCTTCGCTTCGGTGACCACTGGCATGCCAACCTTTGGGTCGAGAATTGTGCTAGGGAGGGTGATGCCTTCGTTGAGATAGAGCTCCGCGTCATTGATGATTTTGGCAACGCAAAGGAGACGATGCGTTATGAGGGTGTTGCAGCCTGCTGTGCATAGTTGAGAGAAATCTCCATCGCCATACCCTTTTCCAACCAAACCTGGCCGCCTGTAACATACGAGTCAGTAAATCCCACGAGTGAAAATGAAGCCTCGGTCATGATTGAACATACTCTTGACCCTTGTACATCTCTGGCAAGCCGCAAGTGCTCCAAGGCACAAGTGTAGGCTGCTTGCATGCAGGACATTCGATCTCCTTCTCCAGTGGTTCTTCAAGGTTGTTCCACAACCGACCTGTTGACTTCTCCCAGTTCGATTTAGCCACATCGGAAGTCTCGTAGTTGAATTTGGAGTCAATAACTTGGTTGACTTGAGCCCACGGCATTCCCGTCGTCCAGAAATCGCGGAGATTCCAGCGCATAGTGTCCTCCAGAAACGCTCTGGGATTCAGCATGTGCGCATGGAACATCATCAGGACATCTGGTTACGGTTAGATGTCTGCAAAACCTTCGGCAGAGTCAAATGCAACGCTTACCGAGTGGCGGCAGATTATCCACCGTCCAGGGAAAGTCTTGGCCCCCGTCAGGAAAACTCAAGTACTTGTCGGAACACGTCTCGAAATCCTTCATCTCTGCTTCACGCAAGCGACCTCCAGAGAGCGTCTCCCACCAAGTCTGATATCGATCCGCCGCCCGCGCCAGGAATACCGCCCACCTCTTCTCGCGCAACGATGACAGCACTTCCTTCACGCGATCCTCACCTCCCTTGCTGGAGCCTTCGTCGCCATCCCTAGGGCCGGCTCGCGAATCCCACAAGTCCCATAGACCATCGCTGTACCCTACATCCTCCTTGAGCGTCTCAATGGCAAAGAGAAGCTTCAGGTGCGCGAGGCAGGAGTCCACGTCGGGATCCCTCTGAGTGCCGAGCCGTAGCGAGCTGAAGGCGCTGGTAAGATTGGCGACATCCTGTTCGGTGT